TCACAAGTTCCCTCAGAGCTGTTCTGTCAAGAGTAGTCCTCGAAAGAACTCTCTCATCCCCACCCACCTTGCAGGGTGTCTGTTGTGGGGAGGGGAAGGGAAAGGAGTTTGTCAGATGCTCTGAGACTCCCTTGGGTAGTGAAGGGCGGGGTATAAATCCAATGTCTTCTTCTTCTTCTTCCTGACCTGACCCGACTCCTCTCACTTGGCTGCAGATTGCATATATAAGCAGGGCTATTTTTGGGCAGGAACGCACAGGAACGGACTCCAGGGTCTCAGGCAGAGAGCCAGTTTGGTGTCGTGGTTAAGTGCGCGGACTCCAATCTGGGAGAACCGGGTTTGATTCCCCATTCCCTCCACTTGCACCTGCAGATGTGACCTTGGGTCAGTCACAAGCTCTGGCACAGCTGTCCTTGAAAAAGAGCTGTTTCTGTCAAGAGCTCTCTCAGCCCCACCTGCCTCACAGGGTGTCTGTTGTGGGGAGGGGGAGGGAAAGGAGTTTGTGAGCCGCTCTGAGACTCCTCCGGGTAGTGAAGGGCGGGCTATAAATCCAATCTCTTCTCTTCTTCTTCTTCTTCTTCATATCACCCACTGCCTGGCCCTTTTAATTGAGAGCCAGCATGGTGTCGTGGCTCAGAGCGGCGGACTCTAATCTGGAGAGCGGCGGACCCTAATGTGGTTTGATTCTCCTCTCCTTCTCCACAGGAAGCCTGCTGGGTAACCTTGGGTCAATCACAGTTCTCTCTCAGAGCTCTCTCAGCCCCGCCTTCCTCACAGAGTGCCTGTGGTGAGGAGAGGAAGGGAAGGCGGTTGTCAGGCGCTCTGAGACTCCTCTACGTGCCGCCTTTCACGAATGAAACAACTCAAAGAGGCATGCGGAATTTCACACACATGAAGTGCAAAACAATCCCAAAGTAATAAGGTGCGTTAAAACCTGACAAGGCGCCCACACGGAAATGCTCCTTCCCGAACACAAAGGGGTCTTTCTTTCTTTCCTTTCCTTTGTCTAATAAAAGCTCCAGAACTCAATGCCTCGAGCGGGATAACAAATCCGAAACTTCCATTTATAATCTCAATTTATTTCCCCAAAGACAAAAGGAATAAAAAATTTTTTTTCATGTGGGCGCGTTGTCAGGTTTTAACGCAGCCTTATTATTTTGGGATTGTTTTGCGCTTCATGTGTGTGGAATTCCGCATGCCTCTTTGAGTTGTTTTATTCGTGAAAGGGCGGCACGTAGAGGAGTCGGAAGGAGGAGGGAGAAGAGAGCCCCTTTTGCCTGCCTTCTGTCTGTGGGGAAGGGTTTTATCGTGCAGGTGAGAAGAGTATTCGTTTGTTGCAGTCCATGGTGGGGCGTTCCTGACCCAGGTCTACTACCCCCGTTTGCCGCATGTGAGAATTGATCTTATTATGCCGTCGAAGGCTTTCACAGCCGGAGTTCATTCGAAGAGAAGAAGAAGAGATTGGATTTACACCCCGCCCTTCACTACCCAAGGGAATCTCAGAGCGGCTTACAAACCCCTTTCCCCTCCCCTCCCCACAACAGACACCCTGTGAGGGAGGTGGGGCTGAGAGAGCTCTTGACAGAAACCGCT